ATCGTAATTTTAATAGAAATAAGCTACTTTTTTACTCACTATGTCAAAAGAGGATGATAACCTCAAATAGGAAAACCACGCGAGCGTAGCCGCGGGTAACAGCTAGTCTTCACTAAAAGCATCTGGCCATGGTTCTTTATGTGACCATTTCTTTCTTTGGTCGGCCTTGCCTGTTTTCCAAGGTGTTTAAAACTTTCCATCATTCTTAAAACCTTCGTTGACTATCCGACTCTCTGATTTTCCTGAAAAAAATATGTAACGGAATAGAAACAATAACATATTGACATGAAGCAATTAATTCAAAATTGGTAGAAAACCTGACCGAGTTGAACCATTATAACGTATGAAAAGAAATGGTCGTACTACAATATTACCTATTTACAATGTCAATCTAACCTAAAAATGTGCAATGTAAACAATGCCTTTTTTGGTCTCAAAATCGTAAATTGAGTAAATTTGTAACTTCAGGCAGATTACAAACAAATAGTTACACGATTACATACCCGTCATAGATGCTGTTCGCCCATAAACATCATCCAAATCCCACAAAATTCGTCCAGCTTGGTAGTCTTCGAAACATCGCCGGAAAACTTTAAAAATCACTTCCCGCGTGCCACTCCAATTTACTTTACTCATTTTTATACCTTTCTCCGTAGTTTCGTCTTAATTTATTACAGTTTAATCCAAACAATAAAATATACAAAAGGAAAACTGTTCCACAACTGAAACTCGATGACAGCTGATGTACATAAGTTTGGTGTTGCCAGACACATGTATAATGTTAGTTCCTCAAACATTCATGTCACCACTTTATAGACAAACTGTATATATGTGAACTTATAATCTGCATCGCATACAGCAAGTAAAATGATGGAGAAATAATTTTTATTATTATAGTAAAGTGATCCTAAATCGCTAAGGTTTCATTACTCTTATATGCTTTCCATCGATGGCATCAACGCAATTGTGACAGTTTGCATTTGCATTGAAACCTTTCGCTTTTTAAAGCCACCTCTCTTTATTCTATATATTCTACTGTCTCATATTCTCCCAAATCGCCTTGCAAACTTCATATATAATAGCTCGGACAGTTGTATGTCCCATCCGATAATTATGACTTAATTACATCACAGAACACCTGTAGCAAGATATCTGTAACAAAGAACAAATATTAATTTTCTGGTAAATCTCTACAGAGCAAGTGGAAGAACAACAGGGCTAGTTACAGTTGGGAAGTAAAACGCAGAGCCGGTGCTAGAAGTAGATCGGCAGCTTCGCGCAAGAGTCCATATGTATATTTCGAACAACCTTAGGTATTTTGTTCGGCACACTGTAGTAAATAATGAAACTCAAAATAGCATGGATGACACACGCACTGACGAAACCAACGCTAACAGTGGTACTCAAGGTGAACGACCTGTTTCCAAAAAGAAGAAGGCAACTGACGAAGAAAATTTGCTTCAGGTATTAAGGGAAAGTATCGTAATGAGAGAAGAGGGTGAAAAACAGCAAGAGTCTGATTCAGACAGACTATTTATGCTTTCACTACTAGATGATTTTAAAAACATCCCGAGACATCGTAAGCTTTCTTCAAAAATGGAGTTAATTGAAGTAATAAAAATATCTCAAATGGAAACTAACGATTCCAAATTTGGTCCGTTTCGGCAACATTATATTGATTATGAACCAAGTACATCGGCCGCCAGATCATATAGACCACAAACATTAATCAGTGGACAATATCGTCAAAGTCAAGGAATATCGGATACCGCAAGCAGTGGGCAGTATCGTTATGGATACTCAACACACTCAAATTATAGGCCAGAAGACTCGACTACTGAAAGCCGCCGTGCGTATTCTACGGCTGTTCCAGACAGGCAAAACAATACTGTTTATACTTAGGCGTTATCACAAATGCAACAGATATGTCTCAGGATTCTGCATTACTAGAACTATTTCAGGAAAACTTGAATTAATTTATTACCATAAATGTAAAATATAAATGTTATGACTAACTAACAATACTTTCCATTTTCGCACTCACCTCAGAGTAATCACCAGTTTCTCATCTGGACTTATACAATCTCGTATAGGAGTATCAATTTCCTTGATAAAATTTCGTATTTTTTCCAAAAGGTTATCAAACGATTGTACTGACATTCTGGTGTAGTTAAAAAACCGGTCTGGGAATGCGCGAACATCTTTGAAATATTATGTTTGGAAAAAGCCTTTTGTGTGCCTTTCCAGAAAATGAGGATGAATATTTTCTTTGTTTTGCGTTTTTTACCAGATAGGTAAACAATAATTATAAAGTTTTTCCACCTCCATATTGCTCGACGGAAGGATCCCGAACAGTCGTCGATTGGCTGCTATAACTGGCTGCGCAAATATTCTGACTGCGCAGCTAGGATGCCTAGTGCGCGGGGAGTCTTAGTCTCAACGCCTTAATTACTAGCTGGACCTGATCTCCTACAACCTTTGTTAGGGATTTAAATGAGGTTCCGTGAAGGTTTAGTAGCGCTGACATTCGTGAGATGTTTCCTCAAACAAAAATAGGCTACTTGACACTTTTTGGAAATGTGTTTTAAATGGTTAATGATTGTTCTATTACACCGTAAAAAATGTATTGTATTTTTTTCTGACCTAGAAAGCTACAAAACTTTTAATTTTAAAATAGATTTTTTATGGACATACAAAAACGCTGTCGGCCATTTTAGTCTATACATTATCTATGCTGTGACATCAACGAAATCGTAAACAAACATTCGGAAGCACGTAGGAAATAACCTGAATCTAAATTTATATTATAAAACCATGATTTCTAATAGATTTTATGATTAATATAATCATTATCATGATTCTATTATACGAGAATGTAGAAACACATCGTTAAAGACTCCAGAAAAGTTGTGGTTTAAATTGTCTAGAGTTTACACATGAACAATTTTACCGTCAGAAAGTAATTTCTTTTAGCAAAGATCACTTTAATGTGAGTACTCATTGAATAATATAATAATATTTAAAGTTTTAAAAAAAATAAGGTCATGAATGTACCTACTAAGTCAGAGTTAAGTCGTTTCTGCTTTCACAATTCCGGCGTTCAGCATAAATTTAATCAACAAAACCATTAAACGGATTTTTTTCCACAACATGTAAGTTTTTTTTTACATATACATATTTTAGTCCGATGAAAGACACCACAGTAACACGACAACGATGTTTAGTTGTTTACTAACACATTTACTAACTTGTTGACGTCACAATCATGGTGGACAGCGTTCTGAGTGTTTAAAAAGCATAGACTAAAAACCATTTTTCAAATTAAGTTACTACAGCAATTTTCTAATTTTATGAAGTGAAATCGATGTATTTAGGTTCCTCATAACAAACATTATAAGAAATAAACATTTGTATAGTGCAATTTGACATGAGTCAACTAGCCTATTAGGGAGCAAGATTGAGATGCGCAGATATTTCTGTGGCGCTCTTCTTCTGAGTGGCCTATCCAAACTTTACGAATGTCCTCGATGATCTTTGGCGCCATTTCGAGTCCTTTTACGGCAATTTATTTAAAAAATATTAACGCGGAATATCATCGAGCTGTTTTTTCTGCAGCAGCTGAGGAAATCGTCACCAATCGCTACATGGACGATTATTTAGGTAGTGTCAATAGTGTGCAGGTGGCATCAACGTTGCGCGCGATATAGTAGACGTGCACTCCCGGGCTGGCTTGCAAATGCGTTCGTGGGTGTCTAACTCTAAAGAAGCATTGATGTTGCTCCCATCTGAAATCCATGCTCCACAAGTTTGAGAAGTCGCTCTTGGGCCATAAAAAAATAAAAAAATAAAATTCATTTATTTCGAGCAACATAACTCATAATCATAATAACAATACATAATCAATTATAATAGAAATAGGCACATGCCACTAAAAAATACACCTAATCATTTATTTAATTTAATACATTACATAATTTAAATTTAATAATTTTCATCAAATAAAATAATTAAAAATCAAAGGTCAAGTTAGGTTAGGTTAGGTTACGCATAAGATGGACCCGTTCGCGTTTTAGGCACTACGTATAACATCGATAAGGACATATTAGTCTTTCTGAGAGATCATAAATCATTGCCAGAAGTCTTCACTAAACGTTCTGTCTTATCTTATTTAATAAAGATTTATGATCCTTTAAGTTTATTAATGCCTATAGTAGTTCGTGGACGGATTTTGTTTCAAAGGACATGGCGTTTAGTGATCGACTGGGACAATCTACTTAAGGATAATTTTATCGAATTATGGAAATCGTAGTTCCGAGATCCCCGTTCTTATATAAATCGTGGCGACCCTTGCTCGATACAACTTCATGTTTGCGCCGACGCAAGTTAGTTGACATACACAAGTACTGGCGATTTTGTTATAGTGACGGAAGTGTGAAGTTGGCTCTCATAGCAGGGAAAGCTCGACTTACTCCCTTAAAGCCTTTCTATCCCACAGCCCACAGTCTACTCCTGCATAGTACATCGCATATCACTTTGTCACCTGCGCGTCGCGCTTCGCGCTCTTGCATTTCGCAGTCGGGTAAAAAAGAACAACACATTAACAATAAATTTCCCTGAATTTCCATAGACTTTTCTACCAGCTCGAAGCGTAAAAATGGATTTCCATATACTTTTCCAGTCCGCTTAGTAATGCGGCGCCGGTACCGCGAACCCTCGACAACAGGACTGTTGCCGCACCGCGCGTTTTGTGTGAAAAAAAAAGGATCGTCCGTACGCTGTACGACAAACGCACCGCTTCGGCACCGCAGCAGGCCGTCAAGAAACGCATAAATTGAAAGCGCCCTAAAACAAGAATAAAACACTTTCTGTATTATAAAAGTGAAAGTTTGTATTTGTTAATCACGCAAAAACCACTGAACGGATTTGGATGAAACTTGGACGCATATAGTTTATGACCTGGAAAAAGCAGGATCCCAGAAAAGTGTTAGGTTCCTAAGGAATTCTCAAAAAAACAAAGTTAACGCGGTCGAAGTCGCGGGTGGCTGTAAGTATATAATAATTATGTATTATATTATGTTTTGGCTTTAATAGTTATAAAGAAAAGGCACATTGTCTATTATTAGGCCTTTTATTTTTTGTCCAGGAAATAACTGTCACGTAAATTACCTAGGTACCATTTTATTCACTCACGACCAGAGAATGTTCTAAGTTTAGACCAGATTAAAAAGCTAAACTTTGAGAAAAAGAAGACAACATAAATTGATTTCTTCTAAAGTTAAACATTTCATTTCTCTATAAATAATGTTAAATAGCATCAACATTCTTATGTTAAACAATATTATCCTGTTGCCATTGTCTAGTATGTATAACAATACTGTCATTGACCTTTAAGTACAGTAGTATTGAGAAATAAAATGAATTGCTTACATCCTGTCCAACATGTGAAGAGGCCATCTTTTCGTCTTATTAGATATTATCAAAAGTCAATGTGCCCTTATCACTTATCCTTTCCGGTATAAGGACCTATTCACCAACATAAAAGAACACCTGTGTCAAAGAAAAAAAAGCGTGCAAAACTAGCACACGTGGTGTTCTCGATTAAGATAGGTAAAGAAGAAAAAAAATCAGTTGCTCAAACTTGGCACTGAATTCACATGATGGTGCTGAGTATTAAATTTAGATCTTAACTGTTGGTTAGTTAGGTCGATAACCGACCAACACTCTGCTGCACCCATGTCGTTTTGAACAACTAGTCTGTGATGGTAGACGGCTTTTATACCGAGCCGAGTGGATAAGTTTGCTTATAGTCAACTGTAGTAAAGCAGGCGCTCGCTGTACGTGCGCACTCCTTTCTGTAGCTAGCGGCTGCCAGAAAATAAATTCGATCGCGGCTAGCGCATAAAATAAAAAAGTGCAATTTCTTTTGAGTACATAATTAACGACATTTTTTTGTCGAAGTATAACATTCCACTGTGTCTGAATATTTGTAGTGATTTTAGACTGTGATGAATATTTTAACCTATAATAACAGTGTGAGAAATACATGCGGTAATATTTACTAAGTGCGTTATCAGTTCACGCTGTATGGTGGCATTGTATGAAAGTACACAGTATAGACTTGCGGCTTTGCTTTTTCATGGTATACCGCAAAACACGTGGTGTTTCCCGCCATAGTTTGAGTATGATGCAATGTTTGCGTGAAGATACTCAGAGCGGGGCTGAATAAAAATTATGATCATCGGAATATGTGTTAATGATATGTAGCATATGTTAACGTCCACCTGTGAGAATATATTTTAGTATTGAAATGGCGAAAGTATCCGCTGCGGAGGGTTTAGCGCCTAGGGCGATGGACGTGGGCCCGGAAGGTGCCGATAACGACGGCGATTCGGGGAACGGGGTCCGATTAAAAAAAGAGTTGAGTTTGATGAACGGCGTGGCTATTATCGTAGGTGTGATAGTTGGATCGGGGATCTTCGTGTCCCCCAGCCTGGCGCTGAAGTACGCGGGCTCAAAGGGCATGGCCCTCATCGTGTGGGTGCTCTCCGGATTCCTGTCCATGATTGGAGCACTGTGCTATGCGGAACTGGGTAAGTTCTTTGCTGTTAAGTAACTGTAACTAATCTGACATGTAAGATTTAACTATAACAAATCTTTCATTAAAAATCTTATTAGATTTTCACCTAGTATCTATTGATCTATCAATGTCATTTTTTCAAACGGCTGATATGTTGTTTTCCTAACTTTCCAATATGGAAAGGGATATTGGAAAGAAGGGCCTGACCCAAGCAAATTATAATTATTTATATAGCTATGAATATTACCATCACTCCACCAGACAAGTCAGTCTCGGTCTCTGGCACGGCCAGAATGTAAAGAATCATTATTAAAAGGTATTTGTAAAATTATACATACCCACCCTATAAAAGGTTTTGTATTATCCTATTGTCGTATAGGAAATAGGTAAATAAGAAGACAAATCTTAAAAGTGTTTGTTTGCTCTTGTAATAAAACATCTGGTCTGGTATGACAATGACATGTGTGGTTAACGAACCTATACTGAGATCGATGAATTGAGCACTAATTGCGAGTTGCATCACAGACCTAGTTTTAAATTTGAGTTAAATTTTACCATAAACTTTAACTGGTCTCGCTTGGACAGTTTTTATCACTGTCAAATTATAAACTCATTTTGACAATTGACAAATGGTGCAACCCGTTTTTACCTAACCGGTACTTTAACTGAACAGTTAAAATGTTGGTGTAACTCACGCTAAGTATTTCTTGTACACACATTTTCCGGCTAAAACGGTATCAGTATGCATTTTCATCAATTAATTTTATTTCTAAATAATAACAAAAAAGTTTAGTAGGTAATCTTCACGTTTGTTTTTTAAGTAATTTATCGTAGATTCCTCTGACGTCATGTAACAAAACGTAAATCTATTCGCGTCATATCATTAAAAGAAATAGGTATTGATAAATTTACATAAATACCTAAAGCTATCAAAAACACACTCGATAATTTTATTAATATGATAAACTTACTTCAAATTAAGATGGCATACATACTTCACACATTAATATGTATTATAATAAACCACGTGGCTCACGCAGCGCATTTCGATACTGCATCCCTTTACAACCGACTTTCAAGATAAAGGAGGTTCTATGTTTCAACTGTATATTTTTATAGTTCGAAGACGGCTGGACCAATTGGAATGATTTAAACGTTATTACATTAGATGGCTATAAGTTGCTATTTCCCTTCAAAGCCAAAGAAAAGTGACATTAAAAATATCCTTCCCAGCCAATAAATGAAAAGGTTCTATTCTAACTAGTTTGTTAAATTGGTCCCTTGAGGAATGGAATAAAAGATACCTTGAGAGCTTGATTGCCAGCACTAGTACCAAATTATTTTTTCTTTTTGCGATGATGGCGTACGCAACTGCACGTAATGGACCCTCTTCACAATGGTCCAAGAAAAAGAAAAAGTTGGTAACCATATCTGTTGAAGATGGACGTCAACGTGACAGCGGCTGCTGCTATGTATTTGTTCAGTACCTATTTAAAATCACTTTAGAATGTGCATCAAATAAGTGGGAGTTCAACTCACGTGGAAAGGGTAGGCCGAAATTAAACAGGCCATCCACCAAACATTATCACCTCCCACAATTTATGTCTGATACTGATGGGAGAATACCATGAGGAATTTATTAAGTATTGCTCTAAAATATCTGATATGGTACCTAATTAAAGGAAACAAATATAAATTATATTATAACTAACATTAAATTACAAGTTGGTAAATTAGTCATAAGGAAACAGTAACCGCTCGCACGATGTGGAATCATATAATTTGATATATACTAGTACAAATTTAAAAATTAATTAAGGAACTAGTTAAAGTTAAATGAATTGTAAATAAATATGTTCCCCCCGTAAACAAGCAAATGCGAGATGTATGGTAGTTTTGTATTAAGTAACATACTTAATACAAAACTACCAGACGAAAAACGAGAGTAGCAGTTGAAAGCGAAACCTAGAAAAAATAGGCTCCGATAAATATTGGGGGTAAATAGTTAAGTGTTAAAAAAACTTATTTGTTAAACTTGTACTCCTCCGCGATTGCTTGTATTTCATATTAAGAAACTTCGGGAAGAGATTTGCTAATTTCTGATGCACATGCATTAGCTTTGTAGGAATGGGATCTAAAGAAAAGCCGAAGAAAAAAAGCTAAATTAATTTAATGTTCGTAAAATTTCCACTATGAATATTACTCTCATTTCTTCGTAATAATAAACATTTATCATGCTGGAATGGAAAGAGGAGTAAAACATAAAAGATTCAGCCCAGCTATAACTTTTTAAACGCAGGGTAGATAATAAAAGTTTGCCAACGCACAGATACATACATTTCGCAACCACTTTTAGTAGACAACTTCCTTTCACTATTGTTACAGATGACAACTTCGACCTACAGAATGCCAAATGCTTCGATCTACAGAATGCCAAATGTGGTGGCATCACTAAGACGTAATTAGCTATGAAAATATGCAATGCACTTTATACTTATGTATACCTAATTAATTATATCTATCTCCCATTTTCCATTTAATACTCTGTCAATACCACAAGGGATATGCCGAATGATGTGAGAATTTTTTCTATTTTAATAAAAATGATATTATTAATGTATCCTTTAAAGCGTCCTCAGCTGTACTAGAGCATTAATAAAAACAGAGGAAGAGAAGGGAGTGTGTCAGGATCGTGGAATATTAACACCACATACAGGATGTTTATGCATAGGTATACCTACAAATAAATACAGTACAGTGCAAATGCGACTTCTGCACTGGGTAAAATAAAAAGTTGTTTCTGAGTATATTGATTAAATTCATTGAAAGACCTTTGAATTATTATTCAGTTTGCTAAGCCAGTGACACATCCTCACTCCGCTTCGGTGCAGACTATATATTTTTGGGTTTTTATTTATTATACTATACAGACGAACGGCTCGAATAGTCGACGGCCAGAACCTTTCCGATCAGCTTAATCCTTTAGCTTTACATAGGGATGTAGCTGCGCTCTGCATCTTCTATCGCATTCATCATGAGGAGTGTTATGAGGATGTTCAGATTAATTCCAGCTGCTAAACATCGCACATCGCGGCAAAAATTTCATCTCCATCATCTTGATAATTGATATTCACATCCGTGCGATTATGTTGTTTTTTTCTTCTACGTACAATAAATCTGTAGAATATATTGGCGCTAGGTAACCGTGTTTCCGGAATCCGACCCACTATGACCCAAAAACCTTCAAAAAAGACGGCACTTCTTCCTTATAGGCCGCCATCGCCTTTGTGATATATCATGTGACAAAGGTATATCTTCTAATGTTTCAGATGTCTATGGGCGACGGAGATCACTTACCATCAGGTGAGCCGTCTGTTCGTATGTCCCCTGTTATATAAAAATGAAAAAAAAAATAACTGGTGGTAAAAGACTGCATTAAAAATATTTCAGTAGTTTTTGGGAGTTTCGCGAGCACACCATAAGCACACAGAGTCACAGACAGTGTGGCGCTATAATACATATTCGGCTTCAGATTTTCTTTTATAAATGGGTAACGTTGTCCACAAAATTCCGAACACAATAAATAACACAATAAACCTATGCGATTATTGTGTTATTTATTGTGTTCGGAATTATGCGTTAGATCGTGATAGAAGAAAGACAGACAGACATGATCAATAAGATTAAATGTTTCATTATGTCATATTATGCTATCTTATTTTATTTTTATTGCAAACAAAAGTGAGAGCATAAATTCACTCAAACTTTAAAGTTAATTGACGTCACTGAGTGCGGCTATTTTAACCTTATCTTCCATATTCTAGCTAAAATAAAATAAAATCAATAAAATATTTATTCATATAGGAAGCTTTTCAATCGTCAAAATTTTTTTCTAGGGACTTCAGTGTAGATGTAGAAGTGTAGTAGCGAAGACCTTTAAATGAATTATTGATTTTGTGGAGCCTGGTAATTAGAAAAGCTTTTTTTTATTTTAGGTATTAAACATGTTTTTATCCCCATTTACAGGAAATAATTGAATATTTTGAACATACATTAGATTTTCATAAATGTGCTGAGACGTAACTTTCATTTTATTGATTTCTAAAAAAAACTAGTCGTAACATTGTAAATTGCTCGAATGGCACGATTTTACCGTACAAAAATAGTTTGAATGTCGGCAGCATTTCCCTACAGCAAAATACCATACTATATCACACAACGAAAGTTACTAAAATATACTAATCAAATGGTATCTACGTTAGTAAACTCATGCTGTTGTTGTAAAACTAAAGTCGAAAGTCACAAAAATAAGGATTTATAGAGAATGTAGCGATCTAGAATGAAAACATTGCATATTTCACACACAATGTTGGCAAATACTCTCAAAACCCACGTACACTATGGAAAAATATTAAGCGTCATGTTGATTTCAACAACAAAAAACATTCGGAGCTATCGGAGAGCATTTCAGACCCTGATCATATTAACAAGTATTTTCTGGATCTACCGGTTTCTGTTAAACGAAATAATACACAATTCCAACAATTTAATGTTAATCGCTTTAGTGATTGTGGGTTTAATTAGAAGCCGGTGGGTGAAACGGTAGTGTTTAAGATTATTAGAAACATGACATCAAATGCACAGGGTGTGGATGGTATTTCATTGAACATGATCTTGCTGACTCTACCGCGAACCTTGAGTATTATCACTACCATAATCAATATGTCTATCACAAATTGTACCTTTCCAGACAAATGGAAAGTATTAATTATCAAACCCCTCCATAAAGAAGATCATCCAACAGAGCTTATGGAACTTCGATCAATCAGCATTTTGCCATTTATTCCAAAAATTATGGAGAAGGTTGTATGCTCTCAACTAATACAATACTTGAGCGCAAATAAGCGGATATGAGCACAGCAACATCGCTTTTGGGTGTCATTGATGACAACCTGACAGGTCGAGATGCAGACAAAGGTACAATATTTGTTTTGCTTGACTTCTCCCACGCGT